CGATGTTTTTGCATCCCTGTGTATGTGTGTTTCAGACAGCAGAAACTGCCCTGCACGCAAACACCCGGAATGAATTCCAACACAAGGTGTTGGTTGTCACCTTTAAAGACCTACATGGCTTGGGACTGAGTTACCCAAAATACCATCTTTTTCCAAAAGTTTCTACCTATCCAATCTGATTCAACAGATTGGGTATGCTGGAGATCCTATCAGCCCAACAACCGTCAGTGTTTTTGTTAATGGCTTAGGGTTAGGGGTTAAGGTTAGTGTTAGACTAAGGGCTTGGGCTAGGCCTAGTGTTAGCCTGGGTACTAGGTGTACATTATGATTTGAATATGGCTATGGTTATGACTAGAGCTACATCTACATTTAGTAACAGTTATGACTGTTTTAGACCTTTATGACTTTTATTGGTTTATCAATGTATAAAGTACAAAGACAAACAAAAATAGGAAATTAAAGAAATAAAAATGAAAGGGGGAAAGAAAATATGAGGTCCATTGGAAGAAAGATAAAGGCTTTGACTTCCGACTCTTTTTAGCACAGTACAATATAACATCACAGCCTCAACTTTTTACTTTTACGCATTAGTATATAACTAGCCATTTCTATAACAACAAATCTATCAGCATAGCCAAAATCAAAGTTTCATTTTTTTTATCACAAGCACAAAAACATCAATACATTCTCCTCTTTGAACAGAACAATCAACAATTTCTGCTTTATCTTCCTTACTGTTGAAATAGTATATATTTCTATTTGCCCTTAATAATCTTTGTAAACTATCAACATTTATATTAACAATATTCACTGTATTCTTTCAGATGCTTTAACCTTAAAGGGAAAAATACTTCTTTTTTCCATCCATTTTAAAACACTAAGTTTTTGTTAAAACATTTTTAAAAATCAAAACATTCTAATACGTTTTTTAAAACTTCCTCTTAACATACATACTTTAAAATTCAGTTTAAAGTTCCATTAAATTTAGGCCAAGGTCTCCTTTTTCCAAAATACACATTTTTGTTGTAGGAATCTTAAATACTGGGCCTGTTCTAATAGTTTTATGAAGGCAACATTATAGTAATATAATCAATGTAATGCATTCATATAAGAATCCATTAAACATGTATTGTCTTATGTGACTGGAACAACAATTTTTCAGTCTTGAACTTGGTCATCCTCAGAACTACAAAATTGTTGTAAGTAAATTTTGTTTAGTAACAGAGATGGAATACTTGAGATCAAGATTGGGAATAGGAGAAAGAAAAAATACCAGATTTCCCCAAAAATATCTTGGAGTACAAACTTTTAATGGGTTGGTTAACTTTTAACCAACCCCAGCAAAGACTTGGCAATTTTCTGCAGGATCATTCTTCTTCACCACACGGATGGTGCAACTTTTGCGGTGAAACATGGCAATGCATTTCTTCTTATCATAGTTGATAGGTCTGAAAACTCTAAATAAATAAGACAGATATTCAGGCCATGTTGCATAAAGGATATTAAAATTACCAGTACATTAAAGAAATTGGCTAAGACTCCAATGAACTTGCAAGATAGACTGACTGTTGGTACACAACACTTATGGTGCTCAGATGCTCAAACTGAAGACTATCACTGGTTAGAATGCAGTACTGCATTCTCTAATGAAGAGGATTCTGAAGTAAGTTCTTAATCATTCAATCACAATTAAACTGCATGCAGTTTTGGTCACCACGATGTAAAAAAGATGTGGAGACTCTTGAAAGAGTGCAGAGAAGAGCAACAAAGAGGATTGGAGGACTGGAAACTAAAACATATGAAGAACAGTTGCAGGAACTGGGTATGTCTAGTTTAATAGAAAGAAGGACTAGGGGAGACATGATAGCAGTCTTCCAATATCTCAGGGATTGCCACAAAGAAGAGCAAGTCAAGCTATTCTAAAATGCAGGTTTAATAAAAGTTAATTTACATTAATAAAATCTAAAATTGCTTAGATCTTTATGAGAGGACAGTATAATGATCTAAGCAACGTTAGAGTTTATTAACTTAATTTAACTTTTATTAAAACCTGAATTTTATTATTCATAAAAGTTTGAGCTACTGAGATAGGTGGCAAATACATTTAACAAATAAATAAAAATAAATAATTTTGCAAGCATAAATAAATGAGGAATTCCGGACACAGGTTGGCCTAGATCCACGGTCCCCAATCTCTTGGGTACCAACACCGGTACCATGAAGAGAGTTTCTTCCACAGACTGGAGGGGGCGTGGTTTTCCATGCTGCCTGAATCCCATGGATGGGGCTTTGCTTGTTTGCGCAACCCGGTTTCTGGCATGCCACGGACCAGTGCCAATCCATGAACCAGGGTTTGGGGACCTCTGGTCTAGAGTCAACAACCCAAAAGATGATTTATGTAGATCAATAGTTGCAGACACTTGAGAGTCAAACAGGAAGATTTGGAAGGTCTTTAGAACAAGAAGGTCAAGGACAATATTCTCGCCATTACTTTAAAAAAAAAACAGCAACATGAACTGCCCCCAAAGCTTTCACATACAATCTATATACATGAAGGGAAGTGCTTCATGTATTTGACAAAGTAAATTCTATCCTACGAGCACCTTGACTAGATGCCATGCCTGAGTACGTTTCTGTGCCAGCCAGGATCTTGCATTACCAGGATTTGTTAACCATTCTCATGGAAATATAGATATAGGTACAAAGATATAGATATATAGACATAGATGCAGAGCATATATCTATGTATATAGAGTTGAAAGTGCCACACAAAGCCAGGGGTGGGCTGGCACGGTTTGCCCGGGTTCAGGAGAACCCATAGCTAACGTTATGGCTGGTTTGGAGAACCTCCAAATCCCACCACTGGCTGGCCCTGCCCACTCTGCCTCTCCCCTCCCAGGAGTCTCCATTTGGCCCATTTAGTTGTGAGGTAAGTGCAGGGCCCATGCAGCAGCTTGTGGAAGGGGGGAGGAAATGCGCCTTCCGGAAGTTCCAGAAGGCTGGAAATGGGCCTGTTTCCAGTCTCCGGAGGGCCTCCAGAGACAGGGGGAGGCAGTTTTCGCCCTTCCAAGAGGCTCAAGGAAAGCTTCCAGAGTCTGGGGAGGGTGAAAACACACCCCATCGTGGTGCAGGAGGCTGACTAGACCATGCCCGCCATGGTCATGCCCACCCAGCAATCAGGCAGAGAACCCATTATTGAGATTTTTGAAGCCCACCTCTGTACAAAGCTGGTGTCTTTTGAGTGAGGTGAATGGACATTCAAAATATAGCAACTTCAGAGGAGGTTTACAGTCATCTAAGAATTTAAACATAACAATTCAGCAAATCCAAGAGAGTTGAACGCTTGAACTTACAGGCTGCAGCATATTAATTTTTGGGGTTTACATTCACATCTTTGGCAGTTGTTTGTTTTCCAAACAGCTGGAACACGGTACCATTTTCCATCATGAAAGCAGCCTGCAAGATGCAGAACGCAAACAATTTAGGACTAATTCTGAATTTCTGGATATGATCCCAGCAACTTTTCAGTGAATTTGAGCGGACAATTTTTCATAAAGTGGCCAAGTCTTTTTCATGTTCTCTTATCATGTAATCAGCACAGAAACAATTTGTTTCTAGAGTTTCCTTTATCACAAACTTTACAAGCACCCTGTTCAATTCTGGAAGGTCCACATAGAATTTCCTACCACATGTTCAATTCACTCACATTGATTATAGATGTGACAGTCAAAGTAATATTATTAGTGAGAGCTTTGATTTAAAACCAAATAGATTCATTGATAGATTTTAATTATATACTTGCATGCTGCCAATTCCATTAGTGGCTCAGAAAAGCTATTGTCTCAAAAACTGCTCAATAAAATGACAGATAACTTTAAATAGTGGATGGATGGATGGATGGATATGATATAGATATAGATATAGAGATAGAGATAGAGATAGAGATAGAGATAGAGATTTATAGATATAGATTTATAGATATAGATATAGATATATAGAGATAGAGATAGAGATAGAGATAGAGATAGAGATAGAGATAGAGATAGAGATAGAGATAGAGATATAGGTATAGATGTATAGATGTATAGATGTATAGATGTATAGATGTATAGATGTATAGATGTATAGATGTAGAGATGTAGAGATGTAGAGATATAGAGATAGAGATAGAGATAGAGATAGAGATAGAGATATAATCAATGTTGGCTAACCTTTTTGGTACTGCCAAAATGGGAGCGCATGCGGAATTCATTTAGTGACTGTTCAAAGTTACAACTTTTTTTACACTTATGACCATTGCAGCCTCTCCATGGTCACAGGATCAAAATTCAGACTTTGACTCATATTTATGATGGCTGCAGTATCCAAGGGTCATGTGATCACCTTTTGCGAACTTCTGACAAATGCTCAATGGGGAAGCCAGATTCACTTAGTAACCGTGTTCCTAATTTAACACCTGCAGTGATTTACTTAACAGCTGTGGCAAGGATGTCATAAAATGAGGCAAAACTCATTTAACAAATGTCTCACTTGACAACAGACATTTTGGGCTGAATTGTGGTCGTAAGTCGAGCACTACCTGTACTACAGAACCCTCTTTTAACCCTGCTTCTTCTTTCTATAACATCTTAAAATTACATCTTTATTCCTGGATAGGGCATTTTTGCTTTGAAAAGGAAGAAAAAGTCAACAGCTCAAACACCTCACAGATTTTCAAAAGGGACTATTTTAGGCAGAGTGGGAGGAATTAACTGAACCAAGGAAAGACCGCTCCCAGAGAGCTTCAGAGAACATTATGCTTTATTGTTACAGATTGTTCTGATCACTCAGGAAGCATCACTAAGGATCCACTTCTATGAGTCTTCAGGTTGCAAAACACTTTTATCAGAATTTTAAACCAATTTCAAAAATACATATTTTTATGCAGGAATGTATTGGTATTTAGATGTAGAATTGATTGATTTAATGTAATAGGCCATTCTAATTACCGAGATTCTATTTTTTAAAAATCTTAATCAACTATAGTAAAATATTGCATTAAATTTGTATGTTATAATATATGATTTGTACAGTGAAATTGTGTGATATTATTTTCATCAAATTGAAATCGGACTTTGCCTTCCTTCTTTGGATGCTGCTTTATTTTGCATTTTGAAAAAAAACAATAGGAGACTCTGGATAACCATAATTACCACTATTTCAATTTCTTTTCTTTTGAACACAAAACAAAATTCTTACCCTTTTTACCAACTGGTTTCACAGAACATTGAGCGTCACATAAGTTTCTTAAAAGGGCAAGGATCAGAAGGAAAACCAGAATATGCCTCTGTAAAAAACAACAACAGGAAAGCAATAAAAGTTAAATTTAGTGGGTAATTATGGTGGATATTACTGAAGGCAAAACCTGTTAACCCAGGAGTTGCATTTGAACATTAGGTATTGCACAATTCTTGCAGGAAAAATGCAAAAATCCACTCCTCTGCTCACAATAGAATCCCTTATGCCACCAGGCTCGAAATTTTGGGCTAAGCATAGGACACAAAATTGTCTGCTACAACGTCCTACCTGTAAATGACTACTTCAGCTTCAACTACAATAATACATGGGCAAACAATTGATAGAAAATCAAGGTAAATCGCTCCAAACCCGACTGCAGAAAATACGACTTCAGCAACATTGCTCTACCTGACTCCGTTGTTACATCCTCAAAACCCTCACAGCTTCAACCTCAAACTCTCTACCGTGGACCTCACCCCATTCTTAAGAGGTCCGTAAAGGGGGCGTGCATAAGCGCACCAGCGTGCCTACCATCCCTGTCCTACTGTCCCTGTTTACTTGCATTCATTTCCTTTGTTCAGGTCCATATTCATACTTATACCTGCTATCCTGAACATGTTTGACAAACTAATAAATAAAAAATAAATAATAAAACAAATAAATAAATTGGCCACAATCCTTCCCTTAGGATTTAGATTCCTCCAGCCAAAGGTGCACATGAGCCTGACCTCAGGACCACCATTCTTCCCTTCTGGGTCGCCTCTGGAGCTTTCAAAGAAGAACACGGATATTCTCTCTTTCCTTCCTTAGCGATTCTGGAACTGAGCAGCAAGGGAAGATAGTATGGTGGCTTCCTCGGAGAAAGCTGGTAAGTACTGGGTGCAAGGCCTAACCATTTCCAGTCCCCATCTCTTTCCAGCCTTAATTTTGGTCCAGCACCCAGAACTCCCCACCCTGCATCTCTTCCTGCTTGTCAGACATTCACCCTGTCTGGATCCTTCTGCTTTCCCCTCTCTAACACTCCTCATAGGTTGTCTATCCTTCTATTGGGGCAAAGCCCAGCTCTAGGTTTACTGTATCTAGTTGGTGTAGAAAAATCTTCCATCCCATCTTTAGGAACTGTTTGTGGACACCCTAAAACACTTCAAACATTTAAATCTATTTTTGAGAAGGGGGGGCAATTTCAATTAGTTTAATTTTGAATATGATTCCTGTTTTATTTTATGTTATTGTTCTGATCTCGGCTTCCCAAGAGCATGAAGCAAACTCCTTGTCCCAACAAAAAACCCTTTTATTGTTTTACTGTGAATTTTTCTCATTCACATCCAACAAATTCTTTCAAGGGAAGATTTATAGTCACAGACCTTATCTGGCTTAAACTGTTGCCAGGCCAATATCTGCAAAACTTGGCAAGGAGTCTCAGAGAGTCACAAACCAATTAAGCAAACTAATTGTCTCCTGCAAACTCCCCTCCCCTTTCACTCATCTTTTATTTCCTCTGGGAGGGGACATTCATCATCCACCTGTGGCCTTATTCCCAAGTTGACCCCTGTTCTTTAGCTGTTCTCTTCGACTGGCAACTCTGTGCATGCACACACTGGAAACAGGCTCCAACTGTTCGTCTGCTTCACTGATGTGACTCTGAAGGCAGCTGATAACTGGCATACGTTCCTGGCCCCCACATTGCCTCCAACACAGGG